GGGCTCTGCCTCCCCCGCCTGCTCCGGCTTCCTCCACCTGACGCTCCCGGGTCCCTCTCAATCTGGAGGCAGGGAAATAAATGCATTAAACTAAACTAAACTCTGTCATCTGCCTCCCTCCACACCCCGCCATAAATCAGCATAAATGCAATTTACATATTCATGGTATTTATCCACTAACTGTCCTGTCCCAGATTAAACGCGCCCTGGGGATCACCAGGCCTCCTTATCGGCGCCGGGAGCTCCAGGAGGGAGGGGCAGTGGGAAGAGGGGGGAGCCGCTCGCGCCGCCCCCGGGGGCTGCAGCGGGAGGGGGCCGAGTCCCCCCTTTGCAGGGCTGCTGCTGCACGGCCGGGGGCCCGGAGGTCCCGGGGGGCTCCAGCGCTGCCCGTTCCCCATCGGCAGCGACGAGCGGCCCTGGCGCAGCCGGTCCCGGTGCTCGGCACCAAGCTCGTTAGGGGGGATTTAATGAGGGCAGGCGGCAGGCGCTGCCGGGGGCTGTTTGTCACTGTGTAACGTCTTGACGCGGAGCAGCCTTGTGGCCTGGAGCAGCCCCCCAGGGCACGGGCCCCTTGGGGGGCCCTGCGGCACCGCCCACGCCGCTGCCCCCAGAGTGGCCCCATCGGGGGGAGCTGGGGGTCCCCCCCATGTTCTGTGCCCGTCCCCATGGGGTGGGGGCCTGGGGGCCGACAGCCCAGCCCCCATCCTGCTCCCGACCACCTCTGGCCCCAGCTGCTCCCCTTGCGGGTGGGCGCCCGGGCAGGGGATGACACTGCCCCCCCCAGGAGCTGGCACCGCTGCTGGGTCCCCCAGGCGCTGTGGGCACCATGGTGGCCCCGCAATGCAGCAGCGGGGGGGGATGTTTGCACCATGTTTGCTTGGAGGCAGACGGGAGCCCTTCCTGGCTCTGCAACAAGCTGCATAAACAGGAGCCCGCGGGCAGCGTTAATTAGTTAAATATTTGGCGAGGCAGGAGGCGCAGGCAGAATCCGAACAAGCCTGGGGGAGATGGGGGCTCCGCTCTGCGCAGAGCGGGGCCAGGAGGCCCCGGGCCCTGCTGGGCTCTGGCGCACCGTCCCCAGCACACGCAGCCCCCACTGCCCAACCCGCCCTCCCTCGGCCTTTAAAAGCCTGTTGGGAAAGAGGGGCCCCGAGACCCCCCTCCGCCTTCTCCACACAGGCCTGGAGACCCCAGGCCCCCTGTGAGACCCCGGACCCGAGCAGCAGACCCCCACACCCCTGCCCATCTCCTGCCCCCTCCCCAAACTCATTCCCAAATAATTAAGCAAGGATGAGCCACCCGAAGCCTGGCTGGGGACCGACGGCCGCACACAGCTCCTGTCCCCACAGCCCCTGCGTTGTGAACTAAATCCATCCTAATTAGCAGTGATTTGCATGGGGAAATGAAAATTAATCTAGCCTGAGTTCGTGGAATTAGCGATTCCAGTCGGGCACTGCTGAGCCGCGGGCAGCCGGGCCTCATTGCTGTGGGGACCCACACGCGGGCAGCAGGGCTCCCGCGTGCCCTCCAGGCGCCTCCTTTTCCCATGCAGCTCCTCAAATGCCACATGCGCATCCCGGTGCCCACGTGTGCCCCACACACGTGTGCCCATGGGGCAGGAGCGCCTCATTCTCATGCTGGCTCCGCGGTCCACAGGCAGCGAAGGAGCCCTGGAGGTGCCCCCTCCGGAGCCCTCCGGCCCGGCCGTCTTGGCACCGCAGCTCATTGGTATGGGGCTGCGCCGCCGCCGCGGGAGGATGCTCATCATCCCGCTCATGAAAAATTAACCAGGAGCAAACAGCAGGGCGGGCAAGCAGTCCCGGGCGCTGTCACTGCTGCACAGGTCACCCCGCGCAGGTGCTGCCCTCCCAGCCTCAGGGACAGTCACCGCAGGCCAGAGCGTCCCGGGCTGGGGGGCTCTGCCGCCAGGGCTGCCCGGGCTGCTGCTTCCTTGGAGCGAGGCGGCTGCCACCCCCTCGCAGGCTGTAAATACTCAATTAAGCCCGAGCGCCTGGTCCTGCCTTCCCTGGCGCTGCTGCTAATTATGGAGGTTTTTCCGTGTCAGGCGCGGCGGGGAAGCGCGATTACCGCTAATTGGAGCGGGGCTGCCCAGCCTGAGCCCTCCAGCTGCCGCTGGGGCTGGGGGCTCAGGGCTGGCTCTTCAGGACTGGGAAGGCATTTGGGACTGGGCACCAGGGGTCTGGGGATGGGATGAGGATGTTGGGGCTGTGCTGGGCTCGGTGTGGCTCCATCTCGCCCTGCGCAGCTCCGTCCCCGCTAGTATCTTTGTCACAATGAAGGAAGAGGCTATTATGTTTATTAAATTGTATCATGGCAGCGTTACAGCAATTGGCAGCTGGTGACCCCGGTTATTTATAAAACAGGCTTGGAAAATCGCAGCTCCGGGCTTGGGCTTTTCTTCAGAGAATCACCAGCAAGAGAAAAATAAAATAAAATCAATACCAGGGGCTGGGACCGAGGCCGTGGGTAATTGCAGAGTCGTTTCCAAGATAGGCCCCGTCCCTGGCCTGGCCCGTGGCCCCTGCAGCATCAGGGCCTGAGTGTGACTCCAGCAGCGCCCCGTGATTGATGGGGGGATCTG